ACTTTAACCAGTGATTGTTGTTCCATAAAGCTGTGTCTATATATAGCCTTGTTATAGTTATCAATAGGGGGTTTCCAACTTGAGATTTCCCAAAACCCGCCATCTTACACTATTAAAATCAAACAAGAGTAGGGCTACACTTGCTTGCATTATTTGCTCTTATGGCTACACGCAGATGCGCACGGAATTTTCGTAGCAAATTGCAAGTATTATCAAAATTGTCAGTTAAGTTATACAATATAGTCCAGTTGAATGGTCTGGCCCACAATGTACCAGGCAGAACAAAAATAGGTCTAGATATGAGAATCAAATTGTTTGATTTTGTTTTGAATCGATTTATAACTAATATGTCTGCTTTAGGCTATATGCTGTGTTCTTTTATTCATAAAGTTTCACATGTGTCTAAAATTATAAATTCATACCCAAATTGAAAAAAAAAATTAAAACTAATTATGAAATAAGGAAGGCTTTTACCCGAAGCAGAAGCCTACCAAGAAATTAATATATAATTCATATCGACTCAAATTCGTTTATACATACCTTACTTATTATCTTTCAACAAGTCAAGTCAAGTTTACATTTTAACAATATTCCGCTTTTAATCGTGCATTAACTTGCTATATTATTTTGTTAGTTTGTGAATTATGGAAGTAGAACAAACTTGTCTGTCATTGGATAGCAAATAGTTCAGCGCCAAAATCGATATTTGTTATCCGGGATGTAGCCTAACCACGGTTCTGAAGAATGATTTAAGTAAGACAAAAATGCTGTTTAAGCTTCTTCGTTGTGAATTTTTCAGTAAAATAATATCATATTTGGTGATGAACAGCTAAGTAAATATATATCGTGAGGAGCGTAAGGGCAAAGGTCAGGGTTCAATTTAAATGAAGACATCTGCTCTTCGTTCGGTTGACTTAAAGGGACAGATTCGCCATTTTCGGGGGTTGATTTGGGTTTTGAATATATGTAAATAATCAGATATACTAGAAATGTGCGACAATTCCTTCAAAAATTTTAATGAGTCGTCTTTTTAACTTTCACACGTGGATAATTCTGGACACACATGGATTTGAAGTATAAAATTTCAATGGTGAGCTGTGAACACGATTGCTGAGAAGCTTAGCTAAAAAATTCCCGCTTCCGAGACTAAGGTACTACTAGTCAAAAAATGAGATTAAGAGATTTCAATAACCACTTCCCTTTGTTGAGATCTACTTATTCATATAATACGAATCAGTCAATGCATTTTTTGCAAACAGGCAAAAATTGAAAATTTTAATAATAATTTGTAACAAAGGTTTATGTAGTAAAGTAGTTATTGGAATTTTACTTTTAAAGATGTTAGTTAATTTGAACGCTGAATATATGAGCGTATTAAGTCAAGCGAGTAACAAATTAAATGTTTTGTGCTGAAATAACAAGTCTAAATCTAAATAGGACGGGTGCAAAATGGACTTAAAAGCATCTCTTTCTATAATAAATCACCTAGTTCAGTCAAGATTTTTGTAAAGAATGTTATTAACAATTGTGCTTGAATTTTCGACGGTTGTATAGCCTATATGTTGTTCGTTTTAGAAATACGGAAATATTCAAAGTTTAAGACTAATATTGTCGTACATAAAACACCCGACCCTAGCCTTCAAATATTAATATCAAATATCATGATTAGGATATATGCCTCAAACAACAAGTTGGCTAAAAACAATTTAATTGCTCAGCAAGATTGTTATTTTGATGGCTTTTTATAGAGACTTCGGCAAATTTTATTTTTCAAATAGTCATTAACCTTCGTCATCGAAATGGTGATGGTTCGGATCCAATAAACATTATCCTAATTGTAATTTCCTTACTGGAAACCAAAGTTCCGATTAGAATAAACAAATAGTACGTTATGGAGATATATCAAAATTAATTCGGACTGGAGATTACAATACCAACATGGCGTCCGATTTCTACCGGAAGTTGTCTGTTGCAAACAATCCGAAAAACGCGCCAAGATTTCTAAATGTTTTCATCTCCTACGTAGCGGTAAATAGAAGAATAATTAAAAGTCGATTCTATCGGAAATTGTCAATTCTTGTATTTCATTGGTGATTTGATTTGAAGTGTTTACCTCAAAGCGCTGGCGTTAGCAAGAATAGGATCGATTTCTCAACTTGGACGCGAAATTCTAAACCCATCTCGAAGGCAAGTGCAATGACGTCAAAGCCGCCAAAAAAATCGTTTTCAGGATCGGAATCCTAAATGCATTTGTTAATTTAATTTCGTTAGCTTTGTTATTATAATACATTCACCTTAAATTATCGGTTTTTCTCATTTTGCAGACAGATTCTTGTTAGGATCATGTATCCATGTTATCTTTCATAGAGCAGAAATTCATCCAGTTGATTTCGGGTTGTGATATAGGGAGCAGGAGCTGATAAACTTCAAGATCAGATGAGGTATACTGCACATCCTATCTTTATAAGTATAAATTAAAAAAAGAGCAAGTTAACTGATCCATACCGACACAGACAGCTATTTCTAACTATAAAGTCAATTATATGTTATATATATTTTTGCTACGTCACTGAATAACGTCATCTTGGATTTGAATGGAATTTTAATCCACTATATGACGTAATATAAATATAATGTTGACGGACTAATTTTAGAAAGGAAAATAACTACCAAAAATAGACCGTTATCGATAGCAATTGTTACTCCAACCAATAAAATAACCTAAATAAAGCTTGATTATCATTTATTAAGATTAGTAACTACTTCTTTTATCTTTCCCACAACACTGTTTGATCGTACCGCCTCTATTGTTTATTAATCAATTATACCTTTAACATTACAAGACTTTCTGATTTCTCGATAGCAACTTAACAGAGCATGACCTATATATCGGAAGCACAAAATCAACTGATTGCATGTTAGGTATAATTAGCACGATTGGAAATTTTGTAGACATCAGAAAGACGGAAAGTAAAATAATATAATGAGGATTATCTGGACGAGTTATCAAGTTCGATATACTTCTCAATAGCATGTTAGAATGCTATTTTAATTAAGTGGCGCATATTACAACATACCAAAATGCATCAGTTACAGTCTGACGGTATATTTACAGATATTATTTCAGGTTGACCTTATATGGACTCACTCCAGTAATTCATTTCCCATTTCTTTCAATGGTATATCACGAAATTCAACCTTATATTACTTTTCCTATAAAATCTTTCAATGTCATATGAAACCCTGGTCAATACTTAGTTCCTGATCAAAAATTCAATATATCATGACCATGAAAATCTACTGCGAACTCTATAGAAGAAGAAACAGCAACTCTCGGCAGATTCTATAACCTAAAGGAACTATGGTCATTGGCAAGATCAATCTGAATTCTATAACTGGAACATGCTACCGAATTTTTATGAAATACGATTCAAAATAGAATAGAAAAGAAAACACCCCGTAAGTTTAATGGGTAAAGTAATTAACAGTCAGGAATGCATATCGATTAGCATTTTAAAGGAAATATCCGGACTCTGCAGTCCGGCGGAAGTGTCCAAATCATACCGGAAGTCTGACCCTAGAAATAATGACCGCTAGAAAATTATACACGCGGACCGAACGGATTCAACAAATTAATCATTTTTATTTCATAACGATTTCTTAATTACAGAGGAACAAAACGATGATTTAATAAGATCTATTGCAATAGTACATGATTAGTTCTTATAATTTCTATTCGTTAGCATGATGATGGACGTAATGAAAACATAATGACAAGTAAGTTAACCAAACTTCAATACCAAGGAGTTCAGGGCACCCCTCGCTCACTCCCCACAAAAAAACCCCGAAAAACCTTAAAGTATAGCACGCTTTACTTTACTGCCACCATTATATTTAGACATATGACAAGAAACTCGAGATTTCCAAACCAGCTTCACCTGAGCTGGATCATGGGAGTGTCATCTAAAATCCGAAAAGAGACGCCGGGTCGCTCGGGTTTCCTCCGCGTCAATAAAATACAGGCCACGCCATCATATAACGAGAATCCGTTCCGTCCAAAGACCTGAAGCATGATTTTTATTTCTAAATGGCGTTTTTTTTTCTTAGGATCGCTTCCGCTTTCCACTACATACCATAAATATACTTACACGAACCCAACTTACTTATATCAAACACCTACCGCCTTTCTGTACAATATTTCAAAAACCTTCCGTTGTGAAGTACCGTTTGGACTAGGAGTCTGAAATGAATAAAGAAAATGCTGTGGTTATAGTATATAGCATCAAGGTGCACAAACGTCTACATACATAATCATTCTGATGATATAATACAATTTGAGCTATATTTCTTCTGCTAATTGATTTTTATGAAGACAGACAACATTATGCAGTGAGCACTGAAGATGGTTTTTGCCAGGAGAGTGCTAGTTTCTAATTCTAGTTTGATTTTCAAAAGATAAGATGATTAACAATAACGTACCTTCTAACAGCATAACAGATAAAATACTAAGTTTAGCCATGGACCTCTGAATACAATGATCACCTTAAGGTTACCGCGGTAGGTTTTCTGATATAACCACTGATTTTAGCTCACCCCTATGCTAAGATTTCAAATAATAGTGTTAGCATGTTTGTTCGATTTGTCGTTGCCTTCTTATTACGATATAACTGATAGAAACTAACTCTCTATAGGAGACCAATCGAACAAAACTAAATAATCATTCAATCCATTCTTGAAACAATGGTTTTAGTTTGTGGGTTCAAATCTCTATTGAAATAACTACACTAAATATGATTCATTCATCATCAATGATTTAAACTAAGACGTTTTTATATTATAGTATCAGTGTTTTATATTTTTTTATTTTCATTAAAGGATTGGATGAATATTAAATCAATTATTAAATATTGTTCAATTCGAACGAATAAACAGAGTTAACCGGATTGATAAATCCGACTTGTGCCTTGAACCCCGAATATCTAGACACGGACTAGATACGAAACCTTCGATGGGATTAAGACAGGAATGGAGGGGACACACATGCCATAGTGTAGTTGCTTGCGAAATAAAACAATTTCTGAAGCCATTGCTCAGTTTTCGGGGGACGATGCATATGCGGTATAGCAAACTGTTGGTTATCTTTAAGAAAGGAAATAATGTAAAACGTCTGCCAAATTATAAAATTTTACTTGTTTTTTTATCATTTTTTGGCTTCATCAAATCTCAGATTTCGATTTCCCACTGTAGGACAAATATTATTTTCAATAAAAAGGAGAACCAGTTCTGCAAGAAAACCTTACACCTATCATGTGTCTAAGGCTTACACTTGATTTAATACAATTTAGATTGTTTTCCTGTCTTAAATACCCAATTAAGTGATTATCACCATTCATGTCTGAGTCGAAGTCACCTCTGGACTGTTCAAATCAATTTCTACAGCCAATCTGTATTTTATGGCCAATAGACACCAACCTCGTTTCCGATATCTTACTTTATTTAATATCACTCCGCGTGGGTTGTTACCCAATCAAAGGGAACTATCACTCACTACCGGAAATAAGTGCGAGCTTAAAGTTATGGACGTAGCGATGAAAATTGTCTTTGATGAAATTGATTGTCAGTGGGTGATCTAAACTGTGGAATCGTTTATATATTCCGAAAAGAAACTATTCTTGCCATATAATTGACAATTGTGCTTGGTGGAAACAACGTATTTCAATTGTAATATAGATTTGTACAGTACTGTTTTACCGTTTTACGTTGGAATTATGAATGGGTTGTCGCACATTATCCCAGTTTTCCTTTTAAATTTAGGTAAGTTAAATTTCATATTACACCTTCTTTAGGAGAAAGAGATGAGGACTGTAGAAGGGTAACAAGTAATTATTCTTCAAAAGGTACTGGCAAAGGGTTAAAACAGTGTTCACTATTGTTAAGGCTGGTATGTTAATAAGTAAAGTTAGATGTGCGTTTCAAAGGTAGCTGCCTTGTTATAATGGCGCAAACAGAATTGTAAGACATGGTGCTACTTCGAGATCTAGAGTATTCTGGCTACCCCTCAATATTGTCGAGCATGAAATTTATTTGAGATACAAGAATTGTTCAACACAAGTTCTTCATCAGCTTCAATGCTAATAGTTTTTTAAAACTCCATTTTTACATATCCGCTTGCATGGACCACGATAGCACTGTCATTAGCCGTTAATAGTTAAGCTTGGGCGCATTCGGGGCAGTTTTGTGGTCGCAAAACTTTTATACTCAGTATAAATATCAAGACTATTGTTGTATAATTTAATACTATCCGTTCACTAATAATAAAATAATATTATATTTTATAAATAGACAGTGTCAACTCTGTTTCTTTCAAAATTTAAAATCTTACTATTATCAGCCCAAGTCCACTAATTACAAGGTATAAACTAATGATTTTATAAACATGTCGAATGTTAGACGGCACCAGTGTTTATAAAGAGACGGCAGAGGCAATTAAAAAAGTTAATAGCTGACATTTCGGCCACAAAACTCAAGTCTTCATTAGTCACCTTCCAGACAAACCTCACTACAAATGGTCTAAAATCTTAAGAGAAAAACACTTTGATATAAATTTCGTCACATTTCTTAAACACTCTGGAATCAGGAGTATAAAACTCAACTTCATGAAATTGAATAACAATTGAAGACCAAATGTGAATTTTGTGATATTATTTTGACTATCAAACAGAGTTATTGCCCTTGAATATAAATAATAAAACTGCGTTAGCTCCTTTAGCATTCAACCGATTTTCACCTTAGTATGTAGGCTTTATGTATATTAACGTAGGAGGCTCCATGTAGAAAATTGAAAAGTTTAAAATGTATAAATTTGGTATGCTATAGTTTTTGAACTGATTTTTTTTATTAAATTTGTCGCTAAATCAAGCGTCAATTCTAAAATTAAAACGAAAGTAAGCTATTTAGATCAAAGATTTTAAAATTATATCTCGACATATCGGCGTCACGTACGAATAATTATCTGTAGTTCCTTCTAAAGACAGTTTCTAATGCAATTTAAAAAAAAACATGCAAGTGATGCCTTCACATGAAGTTTCCTAGACATAACCTAATGAAAACGAATATGAATTATTTTTTCAATATTAAATTAAAAGAGTTGGGAAATATTAGACCACTGTCATAATACAATTATTATAACAAAATCGTTTCACTGTACAGAAATATTCGTACTTTTCATTTTCAAACACATTTCAGAATGTCACTCTATCACGAACTGCCTCTTATACCTTGACATCATTAGACACATTTCCGGTGTTGACGAAATTTAATAACTTGAAATTGTGAAAAGATTTTATATGGAGCTTGTAATATCTGTTCCAATTCAGCCAAGTTGTTTGTAGTTCATTCTGTCAGCAGTTGAAAGTTCAATATGAATTTTGAAATCGGACAATTTCGCCAATATGATACACCTCTTAAACAATTTGGCATTCGTTGTTTATCAAATACACCGTGATATTCATTCCATGGATACGTTAACACTTATCTGTTATTATACATTATACGTTATAAATAACTACCTAATAGCATTAAATAATAATTTGATTTAAAAATAATCATGTTATATATATATCAGTATAATGCGAAATGATAGCTATCCCGAGCTCATGACTCTTTGATTCCCGGAAAACTTTTTCTTATTACATCGTAAAAAAATAAGATATCGAAAACAAGACGATTTACATGTTATATAAATTTAAACTAAATATTAAGAGACAACAGTTTTATGGATATAGACTTCTATTTTTTATTTAAACATATAAATAAAAGTCTATTTCCATAAAACTGTTGTCTCTTAATGTGCTAGGATTACAATTAAATATATTGAAACCTCGCAGCTTATATTTCTACATATTGTCGGACCAAGGAGCGTGCAAGGCTATTTTATCGGGACAATGGCATTAGTCTAATTCTATGTCAGTGGCCGTTCACTTGCCAACTAATAGCAATCTTACAACGTACTATGAAATGCTGTTTACCAAACGAGTTACAACTAAGAAAGGTTCAAAGGAATAGTTTTAGGTTGTATCTTGTTCTCTGACTCCACTGTGTTGACAGTGGCGTATCTAGGCAGTAATTTTTGGCCCGTGCCTCAAATAAAAATTTATTATATTTTCATTTCTAAAATGGCGTTGAATGAATTCCGTAATATCCCACATTAGCAAGTTTTCAACAACCATGACTAGTGGCGCTCGGGTGGCCTCCCCGTCAATCGAATACTCGTTTCGCCACTGTGTAAGGATCATGGAACGAGAATCCGTTCCGTGCATAGACCGGAAAAATAAATTTTGTCTTTAGATCGCGTTTTTTCCTTAGGAACAATATGCATCACGAAACACAAAACTCATTTATCTTTGGTCTTTGATAGACATGTTGAATTCTCTGAAACATGATTCAGAACAGTTCTTTTTAAACAATCCCTGATAAAAATCAATCGCAATCATTCCGACCCATTCGATTGGTACACACTCCTACAACATGTTGTATATGTCCCAAAGATATGTCAAGTAACAATTAAAATTTCATTTCAAAGCATTGACAAATTTTTGTTGAAACTTAATTGGCCGTGTAACAACATGATTTTGATGTGATTTAGTTGTTGTTATATTTAGATATTGACATTGTCATTGAGCTGCTCAAGTCTTGTCTGTTTGTGCTACAATCCAGTAACCAAGTGTGATTTAAGCAATGTCACTGATTTTGTCACTTGGTTCAGAGATTTTGAAACCTATTGGGATTTCAGGCAAATATCTAGTATCGTGTTGCATAGTGTGACATTGTTCTCAGTCATGCGAGCATGTTGAAATGTATTATATAGTATTACACGCGGTACTTAGATTTTAATAAGACATTATTTTAAAGAAAATTCTTAAATGATATCTAATATTTAAAATAATGCAGACCTTAGAATCTATATTTAACTGTACTCCTTACGTAAATTTAATAATTGTCATAATTTAGACCAATTCAATAATGATCTTAATTAAGGTCAATTAAAAATAGAATTGATTATTGTCAGAATCAAAGAAACTCTTTATATTAATTTCAATTTAATTGTACAAGGTTTTTCTTTCAAAGATTGATTTGTTGGACATCGTTATGTGATTCACTCATTACTTCAAAAAAAAAAAAAATAGAAACAAGGAAGTAAATGAGTAATTCAGGAGGAATGGAAGACCAAACAGCTTCTTGCACGGAAATTTGTATTTTTCCCAATCTGTTTCAATAGACTGAAATTACAGAAACCTGAACATCAAAGATAAAAAAGCGATTCGTATTTTAGACCTTCAAATTATCGAATCGAGGCTAGATGCTTCGACAAATTAAGCAGTTCTATCACATTTCTTTTGACTTTTTTAAAAATAAAGTCAATGGTACTGTTACAAGTGTTGTATGTTATGTCGTAGATTGTTTCAGACAAACGTTTATATTACACAACATTTCTGTTACACAAATTGTTATATTATATTGAGATCGATAACGTATTATAACGCGACACCTTGTAGTGGCAGGGGGGATATTTAAAGAATTTAGAATGATGATCATTAGTGTATTGAGCAATTGTTATATAAGACCATAATAATAAGCATTAGAATCCAGTCCCGACTGGCAGCGGACGTTGACTTGTCACGTACCAACTAACCAAACATAACTGTTTAGTTCTGGTTTTTTTTTTCAGACATAACCCTTTTCTTTTCACGACTATTTTGCTTTTTTCTACAGCATTAAATATCCTTAATTATAACTTGTTACTTTAAAGTCTTATAGAAAAAACTCGCAGTAAGGTTTGTCTTTGTCGTCATAGAAATTCTGATGATCAAGGCCAAGACCTAAAACAGGTGCTGTGAAAAATTAGGTAGCACCAATTTTGCATTCCAAAATAACACAAACTGTAGCATTCGATTCTCTCTCTTTAACTACGACTGAGGTTTATTTCATTGTAAGGAAGTTGTCCTATCGTATGAGAACTATCAGACAATGACACAATTGTTTTAGTTTAACATAGAGAAAATCTTATCATTGAAGATATCGATTAAGACAAATTAATTATATTAGGTAAATATAGGGCCTCGACATTTATTACCACTTTACAGTTACCTTAGATAGTCGACTGTTGGTATTGGTTATAATATTAAAGTATGGTGGTCACCTGTTAAAGAGAAAATAAAAGCCTTTGCTGATATTTCCAGAAAAAAGGAAATAAAAAACAAATTAACGAATATACGACATCAAAATCTATAACCACTTTACAATAACAGGCCTTATGCCTGTGCCAGTGTTTCAGAGAGCCGACCCTGTAGCGGCTCTAAAGCCCTAATATATATATGACCTATTCAAACTGGCATGGATATTATTTGATGTTTAAAGACAAAAAAACAAACAAATAACTACAAAAAACAGAAAATATAAAACACAAAAATTGTTCTGTGCATGTCATTTGGTATTAGGGATAATGACGTTAAAATAAATAATCTCAATAATAATACAATGGGAAAAATTTCTAATTTTATAGGAACAAAAGACATCGGATATCAAAGTTGAAAATAGAACAGACAAAAATAAACAATCGTAAGCTAAAGAAAGGTGGTGTCTTTAACCCATATTATATTTTCAGCTGTTTCAACGAGAATACTAACAAATTACAAGATAAAGACAAACATTGTAGTAATCTAATTAACAAGATATGGGAGTTATAAATTATAGTTTAATATATTGATATAATTGATTAATAATTACTCATATTACTGTTTGATTATCTTATGTGGTTAATAGTATTACCCTGCGAGTAGGAGGGTTACAGGTGTGGTCCATTTTTACAGGAAATTATTGCTCTACAAACGCAAAAGCTGATGTAGCATAAAATTCCGATTTAGTGTTCCATAAAGCTCGTATTTATTTATATAATTAGTTATGACCCCGAAATCGACCTTATTCTACTAAATTTTATTGTGAAGGTGATAGTTTACAATAGTTATCATCGTCGTAAGAATTGTAACCTGTTGTATTTCAAATTAAACCATATATTTGGCTAATGTGCTCACTCTGATGTCCACACATAAAACATTTATTCGACTGTATGCTTTGAGAGTGGGTGTATTCTTTCTATTCTGATAGAAGTGACTTTCGAAATTGTGCATCCTGCAAAAAGGTATTTGCAGTCAAATTGCTCACTTTGACGTCCGCGTTGAAGATAATTCAAAAAATTTAAAAACAGCAATTTCATTATACTCATACGATAAAAAGGGAAAAGTTTTGTGGGATAAAATTTATGTTTGGCAAATAAGAGCAGAGGAGTATTGTGTTACTTTAAAAAAAAAACTTTTCAACTGTATGTATTAATTATTGCTAGTGTGGGGGTATCTACGGTATTTCTGTTGATCATACTGAGAAAAATGAATTTGTAACCTCCATTATTTGGAAACCGTATCAGCAGCCAATATGTCACACTTCTGACGTCCGCGTTCAAATTTATTGTAATATATTACAATTTTGATATTTCAAAGTTGATGTGGCAAAAATAAATCACACTATAAAAATTCAGTTAATAAAGATTCTGTAGTAAATGTGTTTACCATGACGTCCGCTATAAATACAAAAGTGTTGAAATATATAATTCTTTTGACTAAAATTCTATTTTTACCATTTGATGTAATAAGATGCCTTTAAGCTATAATTACATAGCAATTTATACAGATCTTATACAAAGAAAATAACAAAAAAATTAGTGCCTGAAATTATTCTAACAAAATTATGAAATATATTTGAACAATTTAAAATGAGATGATGCACAGCAATTTCGATATTTATTTTAGAAATAGAGCAAAAAAAATACCACCACTCAAAATTGTTGTCATTATTTGAATTCATAGTTCCGCTCCTGTAGCAAAAAAACTACAGAGAGTATGGGCTTCTTCCTTGTTTAACTAATTATTGAACAAATTGTGCGCACCGTGTGTTTTTGAAGTGTTTTTCTTGTTAGAATGTGACGGAAATAGGCCTATAAATACCTATAATAATTTAGAAAAAGGTTGTTTCTTAGTTCAGATTGCCAAAGCTTCATCACCTAGAGCGAATATCAACAAACACTGTATCTGAATATTTTCGTGATTGAGGGTGATTTTATTTTTTTAGAAATTTTATATTTTATACTGAAAATTTGCTTTTGCTCTACTTGTTGGTTTATTTACAATCTTGATATTTATTCAATATTTTTCTTATCTTTTCAGGTTTAACATGTTTACTTTGTAATGGTGCACCTACAGAAGATTCCTTATCAAGAGTAAGAAGGGGAGGATGGAGCATGTTAAGATTGGGGCGTGGTCTTCAGATGCTCAGATTAGGTAAACGAACGCACCCCAGTGGCCTTGACATCTACCTTGATCGAGATTTACACGAACGTCAAGTCCCACTCCCAAGATACGGCAAGGATTTGGATTGGCAGAATTTCTTAGAAAGACACATGCTGGGGAATACTGAAATGGACGAAGAAAAGAGAGAATCCATGCTTCCTTTAACCGACCCTTTTCTTTCTGAAGCAATCGATGGTTACCCGCATATGAGACCAGCACCACGTGGAGGACGCTTTAAGCGATCTGCAGGTCGCTTCCGATACTACCCGGAAGTACGATCAGAGGAGCGTGCTGTGGCGTTACCTAGATTTGGACGTTTAATTGAAAAGGAACTCAAACACAAGGATGGAAACGATGAAAGTAAAGAACGTGCCGTCCCAGCTCCCAGATTTGGCCGCAATCCACACTAAACAATAAATATTATAGAATATTGTACATTACATTTGATTCAATTCCCAAATTAGATTCATAATTCCATATTGTTCGAAAGATTGATTTTAGATCTCAAAATGGGAATTTCAGAGGGAATGATGTTAACACTGGGCAAGGAACCTTCATTGACAAAAATTAGTTTGTTGTTTTGGGGTACCAATGAGTATTGAAAGAGAATTAATCAATACTGCTTTATTAGGAATTATTAGTATGATAGGGTTCAATCAATATTATTAGACTATCTTCTCCAATTCAAAATCATCATTATTGAATGCTAGTAAATTGTATGAAAATATCTTAAATAAACAGTTTTCTATATGCTTTTTTTTGTACAATCCCTTACTTTTAACTTTAACGGCTAAATTAGAGTGCTACACCCCTTAACAGAGCAGCTACCCTACTTCTGCTATGTGTGTCGATGGCTCTTCAATTCTTTGGCACCGAGGTAATATAAGGAGACTCTTCTGGTTCTTTGCTAGAGACCACATTTATAATAGCGAAAAACATGCAAATTGTCTGAAGATCGTACAACGTGAAACTCTGAGAAACAACATGTTCCGGGTTCCGAATATACAAAAATCAATATATCAAAACATTGCAATGTGAGAAATACAGACATGTTGAACACTTCATTGACATTATGTATTAGGAAAAGTAGCCCATGAATCTAATGTCGTCTAAATATGGGAGCGGGGAACGGATTTACCCTGCCCAATAGGTGGCGATCGTGTACTTTCTGTCCTGTCGGAACAAGAGGTAAATAGTATGAGTACATTGGTTTGTCTTCCCAACGATTTAAATGTACTTGGAGCATCATGTCGTGACCACCATTCCAAAACCTAAGCATGTCAAATGAAGCCACCAGACAGCACTATAAACAACTGATCTGGAGTTGACGGTTGGGTTTATGATTCATATTAACCACAATTTAATACAAGCTCATATCATAGTAAACAATCAGGGTATTTTCCATCAGATATCAACCATATCTTTCTATCAACGTCCTATCCCTGCTAAAATAAGGTATAATTATGTCTTCTACAACATGATATACTTCCCTTTCATAGTAATCTACCTGGTAATTATTCTTTCATCTTACCGCCGTAGAACTCGTACTCACCAGACAAACACCATATACCTCAGGGCATGTTCACTTGTTATTCTTTTTGCGTATTAAGTTGCTATAGATAAAGTATTTTTAGTCCAAGGGAATTATTATTAAATATTTCGAAATTATTTTGATTTGTCTTTTGATATTCCGTTTTATATGACGTGGTGTACATAATTGCAATATACAATATAGATCCACACAGTCTACACAGTCTTACAATACCATAAGGTTATCAAGTTTCAAAGGGAAAATCATATTCAAGGCATTTTAAATCGCCATTCTTACACCTCATATAAATCTCTGGTGGCGTCACCCCATTTGTACAAAATCCCAGGGATAATATATATTAACGATTTAAGATATTTCATATAAATACGAGGGATTGCAAATGATATTATCCCGATAATTTTTTCGATCTTCATCGTTCTTCCAAACTCATCTGATCAAAATAATTCTTGTAGTTTGGTAGTCGAATGCTAGTCGTAGTATTCTAAGAATTGACACCAGACTCCCGTATCAAATATATAGTCTAGTTGAATGGTCGTCAGTTGAAATGACCTCGTTTGTAGATACGAGTTGCACCCCTTTGCCAGAAAACTTGTTTTACCTTGGTTTTGGACATTTAGAATCATATATTGTTCTTTACCACGGAAATCTTTCTCTGGAAAGTATTACTGAGATATTATTTCTCAACTGAGGTAGGTATAAATTTCAAAGTAAAAAATAGACAGTATGGTTTACTGGTCACCACTGGCTGAACTGAACAAGAAATATAGGCACGATTTCACGATTTGCACCCCTTTCTTCATTTTTATTCATCGGTTTTGCAAAAAAACAAAACAATAATATTGATAAGTCAGATAAAACACCACCTCGGATATGATATTTAAAACCCTCCTACACCGAAAAATCCCTCGGGATGCGGGTATTATCATATCAACCATTTGCCGTAGTTTGTCATATAAGCTTACTTAATTCAAGATCCATTTTTAGTTTGCATTCATAATTGAAATGACCTTATTTGGATGTGGTTTTAATTTCTTTACCATATTAAATAGAAAGTAAAAGTACAATAGATGTATTACTTATAGCCTGGGTATTCTCTTACATGAAATACTATTGTCTGTATTATTAGAACATTCTCAACCCGCACTGTCTCGTGCACTTTTAACTTCTCTCAAATGGTATATTTTCAAATTAGAAGTGAAATAAAACGAAGCTATATATTAAATATATACAATCCAGTCTGCCCCAACCAATGAACTTAGATTTCTTGAAATCTACTATCCATGATATAAGTGAATTATAAACTTCCGGTAGGCCAGTTGGTGCGGTAAGGTGGTTGAAATTTAGGTTCACAGTCCAAAGCACACGGGGCTCCACAGGTTTACCAAACTCTTACTATTGATCATAATAATTATAGTCTGGAATTCAATCAGAAAACACTATCCATTACTGTTTAATTTCCGTTCCCAAAGTTTTGACGCCGAAATTGATTTGGGATTATCATAAAAGGTGTTGAAATATAATTTACAGGATACTTTTATATAACAGAAATGTCTGTTCAGAAGCTTCTTGAAATGTTACGGGATGAAGTTTAATGTTCGACTTTTCTACTCCTTATCAGGAAAACAATATTATAACAGGCATATTCAAAAGTGAAGTGCAATAAGGAAGTATTACCTTTCCAAGCCGACGTTTGGTTGAAACCATTTGATCACATACTAAATAATACTATAAATAAAAAATCTGACAGTGATGTGTTTGAAAGTTCAAATTTTGTCTTTTAGACGGTATTGGTATTGAGAAAATATTGAAAATGTCAGACAGTTGAACTTAATGAAACTCGCAAATTTATTGGAAAAATACATGAGACTAAAGTACAATAGAAATAATGTCTGAGATGAACAGTTTGTGATACATTTAGTACAAAGCTCCTTAAAGAAAGATTCACATCTTTACAACAATAAAATCATTGTATTCGTTAGTCCTATCCAATTTTGCAGCATCACGAATGATGTCCACTCTCTTCATACAAAACCCGTGCATTAGTCTAAGACAGATACAAGTACTCAATACACGTAATTCATCTTTCAAAGTAAGTTATGTAAACAGAATTGGATCGAAAATGTTCCTGCTGATGTCGCACATCATTCGGTCCATTGAGTTCCCTCGAACTTCACGAGTCCATTAAAATCCTTTCATCCAAAACTAGCTGTGATGGTGATGCTTTTTTTACCCGTTACCAAGGTAAGCGTATGCATATGGATGCTGTAACAAACACTGTTGTCTGTAACCTGAGAGGTTCACTTAAGGAATATAACAGGATTTGTCTCCCTTTACATAACCAATGTTAACACAGACCATCTCATTCCAAGAATACTTCAGACAGTACCTATGGGAATTTCGAAGCATGAAAGTAAAACTACGACGTGATTGGATGGGTTGAAAACCGACCATTGTCTGACTATATCCAAAGAGCTGACTGGCACCATGAAAGTTATAAATAAATTGTCTTATTATGGACCCTTTATGACATTAGCCTTTCGATGCAAGCTATATTTGTTAGGATGTTATGTTTAGTGAGAGTTACCTCTCTCGGGTAATCAAAGTTTTTAGTCATGTTTTTGAATCTTTAGTCATGCCTATCAGTCATAACATGACACTATTTTAAAAGTAACATTCATTTGGATGTCGGATCAGTTCAACCAGTTTACAACCTAATATGGTCCTACAACGTCCTTCCACCGAAGCATGTAACAGGTCCACCTTTAAAATCCAACAGTCCTCTTGGGCCCCGACGAACAAAATTGTCTTCTTTCGACAATGCGGAATTTAATTCACTTGAATACTTTGTCAAAGAAGTATAATATGATGCTGTTTTTAGGATAACGCACCCATTAATTAAGAAAGCATTTAGGCCTACTTTGTCAAAGAAGTATATATTTCTATTTTTAGGATAAATTATTGCATTGCTATTAGACACAAGTGGTGCTTGAATTTGATCAGATTTTGGCGACACTTGACTGTTTGTTCGTGATTTTGTGGTGTAAATTATGTTCCAATTATGTTTGACAGATTTGCATTGACAAGGACTAGTTTTTGCCTTAAAACAACATGTACCGACAACTTGAGAATTACATCAGACCAACAAACCTCTGGTTACTGTTTAGAATTCCAATGTTTGTATTTTGATAGTTGATTTGATTATGTATTGATTTTAGGGTTCAAAGATCAATAGTAGTTCTCATCCATTCATATTCCTTCTTCAACTTTCCTAGTGGTAACAATCTTCATCGCCCACGCTTTTTACAGCTAGATTGTTGATCTTGGCCGACAAACAGATTACCAAATATCCGAATTAATGAAATGAAAATACGGAGGTAACTTTGGTTAATCTGAAACCTAGTTCGTAATGTCGTATTGATTGAATAACCGAATGTTAAACCAATGAACCTTGACTCTGGTCTGACTATATGGTAATTCAATGCATTTCCGATTTAAATCCGAAGATATCCCGATTCTATACCTCGGCAAAACATTGTACAGACTTATTAGATATACTATCTCTAAGGATTACAAAACATGAGTCTTTGTTCATCAGTGGACTTACCCCTCATGCCATAACAATCCCTCTATAATCCATAAAACTAAGTAATAATTCATTAAACTAAGTAATTTCGAAAAAGTTTAAAAGGCCTTTCTAGGAGGTAGTATTCCTTAAATAATATAGTTCTTTCAATTTGGAAACACAGAGCCAGCATGTTTAAATGGTTTTGGCGTTCAAAAATTAACTGCAAGATGTTTACATTTCTGTAGAATTTAGTCTATAGTTTTCATTAATTCGAGCACCCAATTCTCCTATCCTACTAAAAAGAAACGGGACTTCCCCGTTAAGGCATAGGCGATTGGAATAAAAAAAATCCGTACAAAGAAGACAATCCCGTTAATCAAAATCTCATCCAAAGTATGGAAAAATCGAGAGTAAAAGTTGTGTGGTAGCGTACTCATCCAAAGAGAAGTACCATCAGGTGTTTGGAAAAGAGTAAGCATAGTCTGCCTTGCGCGCGACACCCGCCACTACCACAATGGTAAAAATCATGAGAAACAACCAGATCAAATTAATCAACCAAAATGCCAGAAACAGATAATATATGGTATTTATAAAAGAGTTCTGCATATCAATCTTAAAATTTCCTACAAGACAT